TTATGTTGATCCAACTCGAGCGTTCGGTAGAAGATCCCTTATGGTATGGGGTGGAATATCAATGAACCATCGAACAGATCTAGTGATTCTCCAACCCTCAGGATTCACAGCGGTACGTTACATATACGAAGTTTTGCGTCCTTGCGTGATTCCAATGCGTTGACGAATAGGCCGTGATTTCATCTTGATACAGGATAATGCACTTCCCCATGTTACGAGGGTAACTTGTGACTACTTGGCAGTAAACAATATAAAGTTACTGCCTCATCCAACAGCCCAGACCTCAATCCTACTGAGCAAATATGGGACATGATGGGTAGGAGATTACGTAACTTGGAGAGGCCTCCTGCTAATCTGCAAGAGTTTGAGAGAGCTCTACATGAAATCTGGCACGAGGTACCTCAACATTCAATCAGAGCATGCATTGATATGCTAGAACGTTTAGGAGAGGTTATCCAACGCCGAGATGGCAATACACGGTATGATGAATGCCTCTAACACTTGACCGCTCTGGCATTAGGTAAATAGGGTTTGGAGTCAAAAAATACTGTGGAAGTGACGAACCATGGGGTCTTTAATTTGACAAATGATTTACATAATCGGCCCTTTCCAGGGCCAAAATAATGCGTAAAGTCCGACCAGCAACCTCCTCGCGGTACGTATCGAGTAATGCTAATGATGGCGGTATTCGTTAAAAATGCCCGAATAACTTCAAAATGGCATTACTCGGTCAAAAAAAATCATAGAAACTCGAATTTTTTTTCAAATTGTTTGTTGAAATGTTCACTTTACAATGGTCTATGTGGTATTTTCGAAAAAAAATCGGCGCGATCCAGGTAGCGCGTCAAACAATCAAATTTTTTAAGAAAAAAAATGCTTAGGCATTATCAAAAGAAGCTTTATCATGGAGACGCGGCATCGACTTGCACCTAATTTCGCATCAAGTTTTTTTTAAAGTACAGATAATTACCTATAAAATTAAAAAAAAATCGTCTTGATACGATGAAAATTGACCGAGTTATGCGCATTTCAAAAATAGCAAAATTTCGATGAAAAATTTTGTTGCGTAGTGTATTTCCTGTCAAAAATTAATTTTTTTCTATAAATTATTTTTTTACTATAATAAAGCAAATAAATTCAGCGCATATAGCAGCTATAGTATTTATCAGAGCTATGGCAGCTATCAATGAAATATAGTGCTTGTAGCAGCTATAATGTCAACGCTATGGCAGCTACACAGCGCCAATAACACAGGCCTGCAAAATTGGAGGTGTTGAAAGTTGATTGGGATTTAACTATGTTTTCTTACGTAATTTTTCGCGCTGAATCCGAATCCGGCGGCAGAATTGCTCTATCACGTCAGGTTTTTGAGAAAAGTGAGGTTAAAGGTGTCAAAATTGACGTTTTTTGACATATTTGAGATTTTTTTGCTAGCGAAGTAAATTTTTTTTTCTACTTTCGTTTACGCCATCTGAAAATGTCAACATTTATCTTCAAAATATATTTTTTTTAATGCCGTACGTTTTTTTTTTTGGGTTAAGATTTCTCGAAATCTCGATGTGATAGAGCAATTCTGCAGCCGGATTCGGATTCAGCGCGAAAAATTACGTAAGAAAACATAGTTAATCTCTGCGTAATCACACAAACATTTTGTGTCAAAAATGTTTTTCTTTGTGTGACTACACAGAGATTATCTCGGTGAAAAAAAAACATACGGCGTTAAAAAAAATATATTTTGAAGATAAATGTTGACACTTTCAAATGGCGTAAACGAAAGTAGAAAAAAAAATTTACTTCGCTAGCAAAAAATCTCACATATGTCAAAAAACGTCAATTTTGACACCTTTAACCTCACTTTTCTCAAAAACCTGACGTGATAGAGCAATTCTGCCGCCGGATTCGGATTCAGCGCGAAAAATTACGTAAGAAAACATAATTAAATCCCAATCAACAAAACCATGCAGGCCTGTGTAATCTATCCTTTCTTGCAAATCCGTTCTAATCTACAAAAAGAAAGATACATTTTCTTAATAATACAATAATATATGTAGAATAAATATAAGAGTATTACTATTAACAAAAACGCGAATTCCCGTTATGTTGGTTTTTAATAGTATCTTATCAGTGCTAATGTCCAGTTCTCGATCGAACAATCCTGTTTTAGAGATTGTCTGGTGTTTGATTTTACGAACAGTAAAAGGTTTCACACATTAACTGCATAACAGAGCATAAGCATAACATAAAGCCGTTAAACCAATGAGCATCTTATGTAAATCAATATGGCGACATTATGGTAGATGCTCATTGGTCCAGCAGTCTTATGTTATGCTTATACTCTGTTATGCATTTCATGTGTGAAGCCCTTTAGTTCTTGAAAGTTAATAACTGATCAATCTATCTATTAGACATGAGATGAAAAGAAAGATATTAAAAAGGAGATATTAAAAATTTGACCTGAATACGATAATGTTAATAGAAAGTGTAGGATCGATAGAAAACACTTTGAAAATTAAGCATGAACATGACATATTTAAACAAATTTCAATATTCTTGCTTACTTTTTGAAGTGTTCCCTAAAACAATGAACATTTTAATAATTTTATCATATATTCAGGAGATCAAAAACACTATTTGTTTACTTACATCTTTTGGGGAAAAAATCTGCCCTTTTTTGAAGGATATTAAAAAAATCTGACTTCTGACCAAAAGAATGTAAGTAAAAGAAATCGTATTTTTTTTATAGATTATGGTCTCGTCAAATCGGTAATCAAAGGAAAGTTGGCAACACTAAGGCCCGATTGTTCCACCTTTTGGTAAATTTTACCTGTTAGGTAAATCTGGCAATCCGCGCATGTGATTGGGTAATCTTGCTACTTATCCAACAGGTAAAATTTACCAAAAGATGGAACAACTAAATGTCAATAACAAAACTTGAAGTATACATTCCCAGATAGCAAAGCATGTCTCAGCAAAATCGCACAAATCTGTGATTGCTTATGATGCTGGCAACATCCTGTAGATTTGTCTTCAACGAATTTCGAATATACCGACATTATAGCAACATGCAGACAACAATGTGTATATGTATTGCCAGCAGTTTAACAGCAAGATAGCTGCATCAATGTTATCGTCCGTTATCGGCAATACGACAGCATTGTATGATGCTGTATATTATTATGGCAACTTGATGGCAATAGTACGAATTTTGATGACGAGTTTAAAGTTGTCGACAAATTGCTGGCAAGTTGCTACTTAATATTATCAGATCGTGAAGGCATCAAGTTGCCAACAAATGAGGACTCAGTTACCGCAATTCTGGTAGCAACACATACTTAGCAATGCATGCTTAGTAAGTAACATGTCAATAAGATAGATATGTTCCTATCTGGGTTACTTACAACAGATTTTCTCAGAACGGTCCCTAAATAAGGATAATACGGCCTTCTGATTGGTTCGTGATCTGCACAATAAAAGGAACAGGGAACAGAACAAAGAATGCGCAATAATATATTTAATAATTTTACTGAAATTGAATATACAGAATAGCTGCCTCTCAACTCAAAAATCGATGAAATTAGGCTTATTCGGCGCGTTTTTGCATGAAATGAAAGAATCTGGCAGAAATAAGCGTTGCTCTGCCCCGCAAACCGAGATATTTAGCGTTAAAGTTGACAACTATTCAAGTTAGGAAATCTGTCATACCGACTTCATATAGTAGCACAAGTATGCCTTCTTCATGCTTTGTGACCTCTTGCGCATGCGTTTAGCTACTATTCCGTACAATAGAATGTACGAAATTTAAAATCAAATTAAAAAATGAATTAGTTACTCGTACAATATTTCTATTATACGTAGTTGTATTCCAAATAAATCAAAACCCATATGGACAGAGGAATGTGTAGACAGCATTGCTTAGGTTCGGGGCCGCTACGCACAGACCCAATTGCACACGGACCTGACATGTGTTATTCCCTACTTCCACACCAAATGAGGACTACCTCACACCAATAAATGGTTTGGTTAGGGTTAGATTTTTTGGAAAAATATTCCAAGCGGACACTGTCTACGCTGTAACTTCTAAGCGGTTAGGCCCCAAGCGGCTAGGATATGTTATTTTTATTTTGTTCGGGGCGGCGTAGCCTAGCCGCTTGGGGCCTAACCGCTTAGAAGTTCAGCGTAGACAGTGTCCGCTTGGAATATTTTTCCAAAAAATTCTAACCCTAACCAAACCATTTGTTGGTGTGAGGTAGCCTTCATTTCGTGTGGAAGATTATGAGCTGTAGGCAATAACACATGTCAGGTCCGTGTGCAAACGAGTCTGTGCGCAATCGGGTCCATGCGTAGCCGCCCCGAACCTATTAAGCATTACTGTCTACATACTCCTCTATCCACAGGGGTTTTGATTTATCTGGAATAGAACTTGTATAATAGAAACATTGTACGAGTAACTAATTCATACATTTTAAATTTGGTGCCTGTTGGACCAACTGCGAAGAAATAAATAATTGATGCTGAAAATGAGCATCATAGCGTCAGGTGAAAGAATCTGACGAAAATGCATAGGATTTCTTCGCAGTTGGTAGCCCTGAGGTTCTAAACAATCTAAACTGAGCATGTAATCTTTCCATCATAATCTGATATCGTCGTTCATGGTCTTCACCAGTCTTCATGATCGAACCGATTGAACGGGTCTACGGCCGGATTCAGTCAGATCTTATATTAAAGACCGTCTTAAGTACGGTCTTATGAAGTCACGAACTAATCAGAGAACTGCATTAGCGTCTTAAGACATTACTTAAGATGGTCTTGAAATAAGAATCGACTATGAATACCGGCCTACGAGTGCTAATTAAGTAATTATTTATCCATTACAATCTCATATTGTTCATGGTCTTCATTGGTCTTCATAATCGAATCGATGGAACGAATGTACGAGTGAAGAGAATTTGGCATCCCGTGTGCAAACTGCAAAGGCCTCGGCTACATTCTATTTCTTAAACATGGCGGAAAACAATGTAAATCATAGCAACATGGCGAAAACAGTAGCGGAGTCTAAGACATCGAAAGATAAGACGGCGAAGGATTTGGAAGTAAGTCGATTTTTTATTTATATATTTACACGACTCGATTTATTCCGACGTTATAAAATGGCCAATAATAGATATTTCTCTGAAAAATGGAATTGTGATTGGCCAGTTTCATAACATCAATGTTAATAACTTCGGCATAAACTGATTGGTGTATAATGGCGTATAATCGTAGTCACTGAAAATCTATATGCTATGAATTTTGAGTACTGACTGTCAAGGAGTTAATATGACCAAAGTATATTCAATATACCGCGGCGCTCAGATGATAAGCCTGACCAACATGGCGCACTTTAATTGCATGTCGCGGACGAAGGTGGCGCATCGAGGATAGAGAAGCGTGAGAGTCGGCGTGTCGTTACGTGACGTTGAGAGTTTATAGTTTATGTTGTAGAGTAGAACGAGTTGTATTTTTGAAACGAAGTCCTTATAATAAAGATTTCAATAGCATCTTTCACGATTATTTACAAATCCAGCGATACAAGGTTAAAGGTGCGATAGCCTTAACAATTTGGTCCTTCGAGCCGGATTGTAGGTGGTGAGATAACCAGCCAGCAAAAAGACATTAACACGAGGTGTTACATGATCGCACGTTTGGAAGCAAAGAACGTAAGTGAGTCTTCATAATCCTTAAGTTCCTTCCCGCAAAAATGGCGGACCTTAAAAGTCTAAGAGTAAAGCGTGGTCAATTTAAGACACAATTAAAGCGGTTTCAGAGTTTTATTGAGGCGGATAGCGATGAAGACGGACATGAGATCGCTGAAAGGCTTAATAGGCTCACAGAAGTATTAGAGAAGTTCTATAATATTCAATATGTTATTAGAGAGAAACGTAAATCAACGGTGCATGAAGGTGAAACTGCAGAACAGGTCGCGGAAAGAATAGATGCAGAAGAAGATGAGATAGAAGTAGAGTTCGAGGATAGCTATTATAGGTTAGTGGCGCTAGCGAAACGTAGGTTAGAAGAACGACGTCCAACCGTTGAGCAAGCCGCAGTAGCAAGCCTAAGAACAATCAAGAAATCAGGGGTAAAATTACCGACAATAATATTGCCGACATTTAATTGACAGTTTAGTCAATGGTTGCAATTCAAAGATGCGTTTCTGTCATTAATTGATAAGGATGAGGCATTATCGGATGTCCAAAAACTTCAATATCTGAGGGGCACGTTAAAAGAGGAAGCATTGCATTTTGTAGAAGGATTAGAGACCACCGCAGAGAATTATAAAATCGCGTGGGAATTACTGACTAAACATTATGAAAATCGAAGACTCATTATCAACAAGCACTTAAAAGAATTGGTTGAAACAGCATCAATAGCAAAGAGCAGCGGAGCTGCAATTAGACAATTTGTAAATCACATAAGGATGCATGTCAAGGCATTGGACACGTTAAAGTTACCGGTGCAGCAATGGGATGCGATTTTAATTTATTTAGCATCTACCAAATTAGATTATCATACGCGCAGGGAATGGGAAGAACATATACGTCAAGCTGGGCTGAGCGAGGTGCCGCGAATGGAGGAGCTGTTTGAATTCCTAACTGGAAAATACCACATGTTAGAAATGGTAGAAAAAGAAAAATCAACATCCGAAACGCATAAACACAATGAAAAGAAGCGCGAGAAATCAATAGCATTAGCATCTACGGCAGGCCAGGAATGCGAGTATTGCAAGGGCGGACATCGCATATATAGTTGCGATAAACTATTAAAGTTGCCTATAGTATCACGTATTAGTGAGATAAAACAACTAATACTCTGTCTTAATTGTTTGAGAAAAGGACATTGGAACAAGGAGTGTAGGTCATCAGGCTGCAAAATATGTAAGGCCAAACACAACTCCCTGCTGCATATAGAAAAAAAAGAAGGCGCAAATCAGGAAGATTCCAGCGGCACCGCTATTACCACTCATTGTACAAAGGATTGGCAACAGGTATTGTTATCAACAGCCAGAGTATACGTATTTGATATAAATGGACGACAGCACAGTTGTCGGGTGCTCCTTGATCCCGGTTCCCAGTCAAATTTAGTAACCAAGGCATTGGTGGACAAGCTGCATTTATCGTCAAGCGTAGTAAATGTTCCTATTAGTGGAATAAATCAAAATAAGATTCATATTTCTCAATCAATAACACTAGTAATACAATCGCGATATAACAATAAAAGGTTTGAATTGAATTGCTTAGTATTGCAGAAGATCACGGAATGCATACCGCAGACAAGAATGGATACCACGCGACTAAAGATACCTGATTGCCTAAAGCTGGCAGACGAAGAATATTATAAACCAGGAGTTATAGAAGTATTAATTGGTGCAGATACGTTTTGGCAAATTCTACAGGATGACCACATAGATCTGCTTCCAGGACAGCCAAGGATACAAAGTACATCCTTGGGGTGGATTCTGGGAGGACGACTTGAAAACAAGATAGATGGCGGCAGAATAGCATGCAATCTATTAACCAACGAAGAATTGAGTCAACAATTGGAAAGATTCTGGCAGCCAGAGGAAGTCAACGGACCAGAGTATCATTCGCAGGAAGAACAATTGTGCGAAAATCATTTTAAAACTCACGTGCAGAGAAACTCAGATGGTCGGTTTATAGTGGCACTACCTCGGAGAGACGATATAATACTTGGTGACTCCTATAAGACAGCATTGAAAAGGTTACTCGCTTTGGAAAGATGATTTGAAAGGCAACCCGAAATAAAAAGAGATTACGTAAGCTTCATGCAACAGTATAAGAAGCTCGGTCATATGTCGCAAATCGAAGAGAATCGACCAAACAGGGCAAAGGATATATACTATTTGCCACATCAGCCAGTAATCAAAAGCAATGCACTGACAAGTAAATTGAGGGTCGTCTTCGATGCGTCGGCGCGATCAGAGTCTGGTGTATCATTGAACCATAAATTAATAGCAGGACCAGTGTTACAGGGCACGCTGTTTGAATTGCTGTTGAAATTCAGACTACATCAATATGTTATGACAGCAGATTTAGAAATGATGTACCAGCAAATATTAGTAAGAGAACAAGACAGGAATCTTCAGAGAATTCTATAGAGAGCAAGCATTCAGGAAGAAATACAGATTTACTGTCTAAACACCTTGACGTATGGTACATCCTCAGCGCCCTTTTTGGCGGTAAGGTGTCTCAAGGAGCTAGCAATTCAAGAGCAAATCAAGTATCCAGAAGCAGCTAAAGTGTTAAGATACGATTTTTATATGGACGACGTGCTCACAGGAGCGCACACTATGGAAGAAGCCTGTCTGTTGCAGCAGCAATTAATGGAATTACTCAAGGCAGGAGGTTTAACCTTCGTAAGTAGAGAAGCAACAATAAGGAGATACTCAGCTCGGTAAGGCAGTATGGTGAAAGTGAATTTCTGGTTTTAAATAAGCATGAAATAATAAAAACTCTCGGGTTACGTTGGAATGCGGAGCATGATTACCTTCAGTACGAAGTGAAAGTAGGTGGAGAAGGTGGAGAACAAATTGTAACCAAAAGACAATTATTATCATTAATTTCGAAGATATATGATCCTCTGGGCCTCATCGGACCTATACTTGTGATAGCCAAACAATTAATGCAGCGAGTTTGGAAGGAGCAGTTAGATTGGGATGAAGAATTACCTGATCATCTACATAAAGAATGGTTAAGGTACCACAGTGCTATCAATTCAGCTCAAACACTTGTAGTTCCTCGTAATGTTAATCCAGGCAATGCATCTATGGATATAGAAGTGCATATCTTCTGTGATGCGTCGGAAAAGTCGTATGGAGCTTGCGCTTATGCATGTCATCAAGGGCGAGAGGGGAGCATCGCCATTCAATTAATGTGTTCAAAGTCCAGAGTAGCTCCTCTAAAGTCTATTACATTGCCTCGCTTGGAGCTGAATGCCGCACATTTAGCGGCCAAGCTGTTTGACAGCCTGGAGAGAACGCTAGGAGAAAGAATCAGGACAGCAAGATTCTGGACAGACTCGATGATTGTCTTAAGTTGGATACGCACAGAAACGTATAAACTAAAAACCTACGTGGCTAACAGAGTCTCGGATATTCAACAGATTACAGCGGGCAAGATCTGGAGTCATGTACCATCAAAACACAACCCAGCAGATTTATTATCAAGAGGGATTAGCACAAAAGAGTTGAGAGACAATAGATTATGGTGGCACGGACCACAATGGTTGACTCAGCCGGAAGAAGAGTGGCCATCTCAGAAGACAGACAAATTGGAAGAAACCCCAGAGCTTCGTCGAGAAGTAGTGCTCACAGCAATTGCGGACAACCATATTTCAGAAATTTTGAAAAAATATTCGTCTATAAGTAAATTGAAACGAGTCATCGCTTACTGCATGAGGTTTGGTAGTAAACTTAGAGGAGAGAAGAAAAATGAAGAACTTACCATAGAAGAATTAGAAAGGGCGATGTTAGTGATAGTTCGTTTGGTGCAAGACCAAGCTTTCAAAAGAGAGATAAACGAGTTGCGATTAGGAAAGGCAGTTCATCGAAAAAGCAAATTACTGTCGCTTCGTCCATTTCTCGATAAAGATGGACTCTTACGTGTAGGAGGCCGACTGCGGCAAGCCGAAATTGAATGGGATCAAAAACACCCATTACTGCTGCCTGCCAAGCATTATATAACTACGCTTATATTCCAAGAAGAGCACAGAAGGTTACTGCATTGTGGGCCAGAGCAGCTCTTAGCATCAATCAGACTTCGATACTGGCCAATAGCGGGCAGTAGCACGCAAGATAACACGACATTGTATAGAGTGTTTTAGGTTTAAGCCCAAGGCCATAGAAGCGGTTATGGCAGATCTACCCAAGGATCGTCTTCAAGGTTGTCTAAGGCATTTGCAATTAGCGGGGTAGATTATGCTGGACCGATCCAAATTAGAGAAGGAAAAAGAAGAGGAAGGATACCTATATCAAAAGGATATATAGCATTATTTGTATGTTTCAATACGAAAGCCGTTCATTTGGAAGCAGTAACGAATCTGACCACTGAAGCCTTCTTAGCAGCTCTAAGAAGATTTACAGCCCGAAGAGGACTTTGTAGGATACTGTACTCGGACAATGCCAAGAATTTTGTAGGATCTTCAAGAGAGTTAAAAGAAGTCCACCAGTTCATGAAGGATCGAGCCGATCAGATCAAAACCGGCATGGTGACACAAGGTATTGAATGGAAATTTATACCGCCGCGATCTCCAAATTTTGGAGGGTTATGGGAGGCGGCCGTTAAGGCCACTAAACGACACTTATATATAGCCACGCGTAATCTCATATTGACATATGAGGAACTCAGCACTCTTCTGGCTGAAATTGAAAGCATATTAAATTCACGTCCCTTGACCCCGTTGTCCTCTCACCCTAACGACCTAACAGCATTAACTCCTGCCCATTTCCTACTTGGAGACTCGCAATCAGAACCAATGCAAGGAAACTTATTAGACGTGCCAAATAACGCTGTATCAAGATGGCAACACCAACAAAAAATTAAACAACATTTTTGGATCCGTTGGAAAAAAGAGTATTTGCACCAACTACAAATGCGTACAAAATGGTACCACGACGCCACGAAGCTGGAGCCTGAAGCAATGGTAATAATGATGGATGAACAAACACCGCCGCTTAAATGGGCCTTAGCGCGAATACTGGAGTCACCCAGGGGATGATGGAGTAGCCCGTTTAGCCACTATAAAAACAGCTAATGGAGTATATAAAAGATCCATTCGGAAACTGTATGCACTTCCAATCGACAATGGCACTAAAGAAAGGGATTAAGCAGCAAGAACAGATTAATTGATATTCATTTTTTAAAATTATTATTCGTTGTTAACATAATATGTTCCAGGTTATTTTATTGTATAAGAAACATAACGATTGAAAGAAGGCTTTCAAGATGGCCGAGGATGTCAAGGAGTTAATATGACCAAAGTATATTCAATATACCGCGGCGCTCAGATGATAAGCCTGACCAACATGGCGCACTTTAATTGCATGTCGCGGACTAAGGTGGCGCATCGAGGATAGAGAAGCGTGAGAGTCGGCGTGTCGTTACGTGACGTTGAGAGTTTATAGTTTATGTTGTAGAGGAGAACGAGTTGTATTTTTGAAACGAAGTCCTTATAATAAAGATTTCAATAGCATCTTTCACGATTATTTACAAATCCAGCGATACAAGGTTAAAGGCGCGATAGCCTTAACACTGACAATTCCAAAAATAACATTATTTTCCATTCTTGTAATTTTCATATTTTTTGCAGGCGAACGACTATTTTGCAGATGATTTTGATGATAACATGCTAGAAGAAAACGATAACTGTATCGTAAGTAAAAAAAATTTGATTAAATAAATTTATTATTTGTGGATTTTTAGTAATGCAAATATAAAGGTCAATTTATGGGCAAAATATTAAGTAAAAATTTTTTAAAACAAGTTTATTAGAATGTTAATTGAATGAGCAGGTAGAGCAGACTAAATCGAAAAGTCCTCTACCATTTTGCAATTTTCGTAATTTTCACAAACAAGACTAAAAATTAATACCGTATTTTCTCATAATATGAAAAATTTAAAAAAATACTAGAATTTTACGAAAAGAAAATAAACAATTTTTGTTTCTTGCTGTTTTTCTGTAAAGTTGATAATGTTTGAGAAAATTTTTAATAATTAATATCTTGTTAACACTATTGCGAAAATTGCGAAAATTGCAAAAAATTTCCATTGTCATATTCAAATAGTTACTTATTCGCTTATTGTAATTTTCACAGTCAAGAGTTATAAAAAGCAATTCTGCACGTCCGAAATCAATTCCACAAAAAAGAAAAAGCGGTAGCAGAGCAGATGCACTTGTTCAACAGGAACGCTTCATGCGCTTTCTCTATAGAATGTCATCAGCTATTAGAGCTCTAATACTCGCTTGTGTTTACGAGTTACTGGTAGAGTGAGAAGGACGGGCGCTGCCTCTCGCTGTCTCGCTTGCTCTCGCGGCGAAGACGGCCGACTCGATGCCGGTAGGTGTCTGCTTGGTGGGGGTACAAGTGGTGGGGCTGGATTCCGTGTTGCCGGGGAGCCAAATGTGCATCACTGCCTCGGATTTCGCCGGAGCGGGAAACAGCAAAGGTTTGTCTACGGATATTAATAAAAAAACAAAAGACGAGCGAGTTAAATATTTTACAATATCATGTGTTGTCAGAATAAAGAATCCTGAGTTCAAAATTATCAATTAATTTGTTAGAATTAAGTATATGTTAGTATCATTACTATTATTGCTATTATTAGATTTAAATATATTAAAGGTGTCATGAGAGACACAATATCGTTGAAATAAATAGTTTACGCGCGAGCGCAAGTAAAAATCAGATCCGAGAGTCGGGATAAGTGTTCAAGAATTGAATGTTTAATTGTTAATTAAGAACTTTCAATAGTTTGAGTTATTAAAGTAAAAGGTTTCGGAAAAATTAACCGTCATGATAGATTTGAACGTAAGAGATACGTAATAGTGAAAGTTAGAAATTCGGCATTATACCGGGTGTTGACGAGTTTTAGGTGCGATACCAAAGTAACGCGATATTGGTAAAAAGTAAACCATTATAATCGATAATTGAGTGAAAGATAAGCGCGGATAGCGTTTGAAATTATTTAGTTATACCGGGTGTCTTCGAAATATCGTTGGGAGACATAACGAACCGGTGAAAAGAGAAAAGCCAATCGTTAAGTTGATTTACACCGCAGAAGGCATGTAATGGCGCTAGAGCGAATGTCAAGTTATACCGGGTGTCCCAAAAGTTATGTTGCCGAACATAACCAACCATTGAAATGAAAAAAGCAAACCGTTAAGTTGAATCATATCGCAAGAGATACGCGATAGCGAAAAGGCGAAGGTTTTGTTACACCGGGTGTCCCAAAAGTTCTGTTGTGGGACATAGAGAATTGTCGAAGCGAAAAACCGAACCGTGATACTAAACGGGGCCACTAAAGAAGCGCGATAGCGATATTGCGAGCGATCCAACTATACCGGGTGATCACGAAATACGGAATCGAAATTAACGCAACCGTGCAAATTGAAAGATTAAACCGTTATTGTTTCACAAGATCAGGGACCAGTACACAAACATGATTGTAAGATCAACCGAAATCTTGTAAATACTTATATGTATAAAACAATATGACAATTAAAAAGGGGCATAGAACCAATCTTTAAACAAAACGTATTTAATTAAATCAAATTAAAATCTCTAGATACAAACGTTTCGACTCCGATCGGGTCATTTTCAATGTTACAAATTTTTGTCATGAATCTTAAATTACAGTTATAATCTCATTAAATGGAAATAAATATGACTAAATAAAACATTACATAAATTCGCACGCGTAATCTTGTCGTTGACATAAAAAGCGCAAGTTGTCCATTATAAATTAATTTAAGTTGCGAATAAATTCATATCTAAGAAAGAATAATTATACAATTGAAACCTCAGGTTATATATAAAGAATATTGTCTATAATAAAATAATATAAAGTCATGTACCTTGTCGGTGAAGTAAAATTACACAATAATATGTCAGTGAAATGTAAAAATCCAAATATGTGTCAGTAGATATAAAAATTCAACATATGTGTCAGTAAAAATAAAATCCATTAATGTGCTATAAAATTTTCCTTGTCACAAATGTTATAACTATAAAATATTTTGCACCGATGTACGTGACACACTCTTGATCAAGTCGAACAATGTAATGTAACGGCAGAACATCGGGAGAGGACAAGAAATCGTGACAATACTAAGAAATGGAAAGAGAATGTATCATGTTAATATATGTGTCAGGCAATGACTCTGTATCTGTTTGTCTGTTTATACCCTGTGTTTGTTTCTTAATGTGAACCATCTCAGAAATTAATCTTTTTCTATACGAAGGTTCTATATCTAATATTTTCACGCTATTCCACTTAAAATCGTGTTTCGTTTCAATTCTGTGATTCGTTATTACAGATGGAGATTTTGATGATTTGTTAATGTCAGAAACATGTTCATGTACTCTTGTTTTTAATTGTCTCTTTGTTTGGCCTACATAACTTGCTTCGCAATTTTCACAAGATATTTTATAAACCACATTTTGGTTCTGTGTATGCTCCAATTTATCCTTTCCTCTTTTTATGTATTCTTTAAGTGTATTGGGAATGGTGTAAGCCAATTTGCAATCAACAACATTGGCTATAGGTTTAAATTTCTCCGAAACAGAATCAACAAACGGAACAGCAAAAAATTTTTCCAAACCAAATTTATTATTGTTCACATTAATATTATTAAAATGGTATTTTAATCTATTCCGGATTGTAGAAAAAATAAATTGAAGAGGGTATCCATTATTTAAAAAAATATTAACAGCATCAATTAAATTCTTGTGTTGAAAAATTGGGTGGCATAAGCGAACTATTTTATCTATGACACCATATATAACACCTCTCTTATGACAGATCGGATGTTGGGAATGGAAATTCAGGAATCTGCCAGAAAAAGTAGCTTTACGGTAGCCATCAAATATTAATTTACAATCCTCGACAATAATCAAAGTGTCTAAAAAACTTATTTTTCCATCAATGCCAACCTCCATAGTGAACTGTATTCTTGTATGCAATGAGTTAAAAACATACAATATGTCATTGATGCTCTCAGATGGGGCCGCCAAAATAACATCATCTACGTAC